GGACAGCATCACTGAACCCGTCAATGTCAAGTTGTACATCCATCAGGAATGGACAAAGGACAAGGTGGCGCTAGGCCAGGCCTGGCCTGTGGGAGACGGGACCATTAATGGCCGCCCAATTCCACATGGGTACGCTCATGTCACCATTGACAGAATACTTGATAAGAAGTATAACAAGATACACATTGAGTACCCCGCAGCGGAAGACAGGACGAAACTTGGTCATAACAAGGGCTCTCAAGTGGCCTGGCGCAAGCGCTTCACTAAGCTTGACCACCAATTGTCCTCTGATGATGAGGACGACTGTGAGTCTTCGCCCACCCGTGATGATCACTCACCATGTCCCAACAAAGATCACTCCCCTCCTCATCCCTTGCCATCATCCCCGAGAAGATAGAGGTCTCCTTCTATTCCTCCTCGTCTAACTCCATCTTCATCAGCCCCGAGAAAAGAGAAGACTCCTCCTCCTCCATCTTCATCAGCCCCAGGAAAACAGAATTCTCGTTGTCATCCTCCTCCTCCTCCACCTTAGCCCAAAACAAGATCAAAGACATCCTCGTAGTCGCAGAAAAGGTCCTTGGATTCGTTCGCTAAAGCTCCCAAAGTCGACCACCAAAAAAACAAAAGGTCGTTCAGTGGCAGTGTTACAAACTTGATGAAAGAAAAATTTACAGCACACATCTCAAAAGAAGATTGCATTAGTTTTTTCAATCTCTGTGCCTCACTACCTCAGTGTTTGTTGAAGTCCGAATTCGAAAGGCAAACATAGAATAAGTACGCTATAATAAGAGCTGAAGAAATACACAATGAAGATTTAAGGAAGATACAAAAGTACGTCGAAGACAACCCCGAATTAATCATGGAAGAGGCCGCGAACATCTATTATGATGTACAAGGGACGGGAACACCAGCAATGAAGTATGAAAGGGGCAATCTTTTGGTTCCCGATGACGAGTATAAAAATTTGACAACATATATGCGCTATTTGCATGAATATTACATTGCTCAAGCAACAGAGATGGAGGACTTTGGTTTTGAGGTTATTATCCGTTCGCCACATGTTTTTCATTATCCTGAAAAAGAGAAGTTCGATGTTAAGTGGGAGTGCTTGTTCTTGCTATACCAGAAACGCTCTCTCGATTCACAAATGTTGATGCTGCGGAGTATGTAAGTACCCTACACGTACGATATTACAATTAACTACTCTCTCGAGATACAAATTGTTAACTTTTGAGCACTTTCCATGATTTTATGTAGGTGTATAGCAAAATTTTGCATACTAAAAAGCAAATGGGATAACATAGGCTTCTTGGACCCCAAACGAGTCAATGAGAAGACATGTTTAGGCCTCCATGGATGTGACATGGAAGACCTAAAAGAGAGATTGATTGCTGTTTTCGATGGATTCAAGATGAAGAACAAAACCCACATACTTCTAGCTTACAACTGCGAGTATGTGTTCTTGGCTTTTAATTTTATGCTTCTTTTTTCGTTAAGATTATTCGATAATTAGGATTCTGTGATTGCAGCAACCATTTCGTATTCATTTGTGTCAATCTTACTAAAAATCTAATCGAGGTGTGGGACTCAAAGAAAAAATATTTTATAATCTGGATGCACCGGTGGCAGTGCTGAATCAGTAAGCAATCCTAATAACATATTATTTTCTAATCACACATACATCTTTCTAATGTTTCTTCTCTTAATGTTGCACAATGTCCGAAGAAGACATATCGGTGGGACGCCTGTCCCATTCAAGGTTGTCGAGATATAGGGGAAGTACCTAAAACAGCCGGCGGGAAACGATGAATGCGGGTTTTATTTATTGTGGGCAATGCTTCGCTACATCGGCGGAAAATCGAAAGAAGCAGATAAGTTGGTGTGTATAATCCCCATTTCATTTATGTCTGTTAATAATTCAACAAAATGATTTACTGATTCCTCTTTGGATATCATCTTTTTTGAACGACAGCGTAAGAAATATAACCACGAAAGGCTGTTAGACATGGAGATCGTCGCACTACAATTGGAGCTAGCAAAATTCATCTTAGCCGAGGTATTAGAAAAAGATAGAGTATTTTCCATTGCACAATCCGTGAAGTTCAAGAACCAGTATGGCCCATAGCGGCTGGCTATATTATTGTAAGAAGTCCGAGAAGTATGCTTCATCTCATCGAATAATTTCTTTTTTATTTTGAGGGATCGAGATCTTGATAAGAACATTTGAACTGTAACCGTAACATTTGTAATGTTTAATATTGATGGACCTGTCGTCTATGTAGCGTATATAAAGCGAAACCCGATTCCACGAAAAAATATAAACTAACATAAATTATAAAATAATAAAATGCGAATGGGCCATCATTGCCGGTTAGCAACAAACCGACAGTGATGGCCAAGATGGCACTGTCGGCTTGAGCTACAAACCGGCAGCATTGGCTTAGCCATCACTGTCGGGTTTGGTCCCAAACCGGCAGTACTGGTTATGACAACACTACCGGCTAAAGACATAAACCGACAGTGATGTTCGAGGTTACAATGCCGGGTGGCCTCATAAACCGGCAATGTTGGTGGAACTGAACTCTGCCGAGTTGTGTAAAGAACCAGCAGTGAAGTTATAGAACACTGCTGGTTTGTAAGAACCGACAGTGATAGTTAACCCTCATCACTGCTGGTATGGTTGTGCCGATTCAAAATCCGACAGTGATAGGGTGTTTTAAACCGACAAAATTGTCCTGATCTGGAGAAGTGAGAACAACCAATACTAGGTTGTAGTATATGGATTGTCACATATACATCTATCTATTCGAGAATTCAAATACGTACATGCATGAACACATGTGCAGTCACAGTCAGTCAGTGCATGCATCTTCCTCCCTAGAAGGCTGGAACGTCCAGCCGATCTTCTCTATCTGCCGCTCCCACAGCGTGTGCTGGCTAGGAGGACAGTGACTCCGTATCATCCATCTCATCACCGATGATCGTGGAGAGGATTTCAAGGTCTCGAGTGATGAATCTGCATCCTTTGTCATCTCCAACGATGCAACTGTCGATATTCTTTCGTCGATTTAGATCCGTTTTGGATCTTGCGGCATGTCCAATATTTTGGGATTAGCCGTTGGTGCACTTTGGCTCCGGCGTTCGAGGGAAGCCATCGAGGAAGAAGACGATGAAAGAATCTGAATAGAATATTATTTACTTTTATTTTAGATTTTTCATGTATAATTTGCAGGTGTATTGTACCAACATTTAATATAATACCCCATTCCCTTGAAAAGAAAGGTGGACCGTAGCTGGGTGATATTATATATATAACATGTGGACCTTTTGCTCTAACGGTATGGTCAGAATAAGGTACAAACATTTATTGAGTGTCACGTAGCTACGAATGAAGACGACTATTCTTTTTGTCAAAAAAGAAAAGTTGACTATTCTTTAACAACTTAAAAAACGTGCACCTCGAAGTCTACCAGACGTCGTTTTCCTCTCAAGCCAAGAAAAACAGCCGTCCCGATCGCCTCGGCCCCCGTCCTCTCTCCCGTCCGATGACCTTACTCGGGGATAGAGGACTGGGGACCCGATTCGTCCGTATTTTTAGTTTTTGTTGATCCTTGTTTTTCTAGGATTTGATTTCTGGCACATCGACAAGGTGGTGGCGACGACATAGGATTCTCAATGAATAATCGTTAATTAGCTTTCCATTATTTCTGGAAAATGATCAAATCCGTCGGGCAAAAATTCATTATCCCTATGCAATGCACGGGCATATATCTAGTATAGTGCAATATATAAACTGCATATTATTTTTTTGTCCTTGCGCTGCGCGCAGAACCTAATATAATCACTACTGGAAACGAAAAATATCGTCCTGGTAAAAAACCGACAGAAAACGCAAAAAACTAACAGGAAAAATAGAAAAATATTTTTTCTATCGGTATACCGACAGAAAAATTCTGACAGCGAAATAGCCTTTTTTTTGTCAGTTAGACTTTTTCCCTGTTGGGTTACCATTTTTCTTGTCGGTAGGGCATCGACAGGAAAATTATAGGTCGCCAGGTCTAGAAATTTATTTCTATCAGTAAATGACGACAGGACAAATAGGTGTACCGACAGGGAATAATGTTTCATGTCGGTGTTAGATCGTTAGAAAAATGAGTTCGTACCGAAAGGAAATATTGCTTTTTTCTATCAATGCGATAGGAAAATTATAGTTTTCCTGTCATCTCTCTCCCGACAGTATAATTATAACATACCGACAGGAAATAATTGCAGTCACCAGGCCATAAATTAATTTTGAGCCATAAATGTGAATACTATTCACTAAAAACTTGGTCAAAGTTACACTAGTTGGCAGCACGCCAGGCTGCAGCGTGTGTGGCCCGCGGGTACACGCCAGATGGCACACACAGGAGAGCTTGATACAAGGTTTAGATCTCGATTGTCTGCTGTAACAGTGTGAACCAGTTGATGATTGGTTCCACCATTACCGGTTTCACCAAAACTTGTCAACGCTGGGCGGATGTAAAGTTCATTTCTGTAGTGGGTAACCAAAACAGAACTGTGGTGATGGCTCGTAAGTCCTTGTAACACCAACTGAGTAATTGTATTATTATACAATTAACTCTCACCGATGATGATGTCGAATTGTATTTTGTTTCTTTTAGTCGACATTCTACTTTTTTTCGAATTACACAATTACAGACGCAAACGCTTAACACGCACGTACACTCAACCCTACGAATAGACGCATCCTACTTCATCATCACTTATAAATACAGGGAGGGAGCACCACGGGGAAGGGGAAGGCAGGCATATAGCTGTTTGGTGCTGATTCTTAGATGGCCAGCTATACTAGCAATTACGCCTTAGGGAAAGGGAACCAAGATGATGAGACGTGCATGCATGCTACGAAGCTCCTTGCCGGATTCGCCGTACCTTTTACCATCAAGGCGGTCATCGAGCTCGGCATCATGGACCGGCTCCTGACCGCGGAATGCGCGATGAGCGCAGAGGAGCTGACGGCAGGGTTGCCATGTCCTGCTCCTGCTACTTGTACTGCTATGGTGGACCGCATGCTCCGGTTCCTAGCTTCGCACAGCGTGGTCAGGTGCGCAACTGAGTCGGAGTTGGGCCCCGATGGCAAGAGGTGCCGGCGCTACGCGGCGGCACCGGTGTGCAAGTGGTTTGCAAGGGGCGGCAGCGTGGAGTCAGTGGTTCCATTGGGGCTCTTGATGCTAAGCAAGACCTTCATGGAGAACTGGTACGTCGTCCTTGGCTCCCTGCATAGAATTCTTTGAAGTTGTATCCTAATTGAATTTCGATTAATGATTGATTAGAACCATATTGTTTTGAATTTCTAAGTTCTGTACTATGTTCAGATGGTAGAGATTGAGACCTTTTTCCATCCGCTTAATCAAATATTTCCTTTTTTTCTAAAAAAAAATCAGTTGAACAACGAACAACAAATTTCTTATAAAGCTATATATGCATGATAGCTCTACGAAATAAGAACTCAAAGTATACAGAGTTGTTCTAAACATCTGACAGTTATATTAAGTGAGCATAATACAAAATTTAGTAATAAAGTTTTATGGTTCATCTATCTTGCATCTTCATAATTAATCAAAGGAAGTCATACAAATAAGGAAATGCCCACTGCAAAATCTTCATTGGTGGTGCACCCTTCTTAGCGCAGGTAGACATGCCACTCATTTTTTACCATTCTTAACGTCATAACAGGAGCATACAATAGCAAGGCAACTCAACTTTGCTCATGTTCTTCTGCTTAAAGGTAGTAGTTCTGATAGAGTTTTATTTTATTTTGTTTCTACCTGGCGGGTTCTTCTACACCATGTTGGCGCTAGACTAGCCCTCGCCTTCTTTTTCTTGTTTGTATCCTTAGACTGACCCTTCTCTTCAACATCAAGAAATAGTATCAGGTTTACACCTGATATCTCCTGTCTCTTATGTTTTAAAGTAGTGAAGGAGCCCCTCCAAGGAGGAGACAACTTTGCCATTATGCACCCAACCACAAACTTGTCAAGTTACACTTAAGGAGTTTGAGTTCAATCACAACGAATTGTATCTCATTAGCTTATCCTACTACAGAATGGTTGTTCAACATCTAGTACTCATGGAGCTTCTCCATTATGTATAGTTGACGGCCTCATATCCGTTGCACCAAAGTTTAACATTTAGAGTATCCCATGCGGCTGTTTTGCATCTGTTATGTGCATGTTGTTCGCACACGAACACGTCACCGTGTGCCCCCGGCGATGAGTGCGATACACAGGACACTTCGCCAGAGGAGCCTCGCCGGCGAGGTCTATTGAGACCCGAAACCCCACACGCCCGGGAGGGACCCCGTCAGGGCGTGCGGCGGCTATGGGCTGCCCTAGCTGGCCTGACCGCTCTAGGGCTTCACCATCGTTGAAGCAATGAACATTGTCGACAACGAAGAATGAGAAGAAATAGTAGATTGGAAAAATAAGATAATAAAAGATAAAAAGTATATGTATTGATGATTCGATTGTGTGTTGTCAATCGGCCATCACCTTTTATTATATTTATAGGGCGGCTGGTCTTTCCATACAAGAGTCCATCTCAATATACAATAGAGAGGTTCGGCCGCCATGTTAATTTTCCTAAACCCCGTTCGGCCATAACCCCAAAGTCCAAACAGAATACACGCTATTCTCTCGTAAACAAGCTGTGACCCTTTCTACTCAGCCAATCACGTGGGAGAACTTCAAAACAATCACGTATGCATGCATCTCCGATCTTTTCTTTCCATATACTAAATCCGACTCCAACTTCCATACCGTAACTGAGCATAACTCCTTTAATCTTGATATCGGCATGCATCATCCTTTCTTTATCCACCTATATACAGCTCCATCCTTTCCATGTACGTGTAGGTGTAGGTGTAGCTGCTTCTCGTGTAGTCGTTGAAGTCCTGGTCTGGTATTGATAGCTGGGTAGCAAGCGCATGCTATGCTAGACACGTACAGCTAGCCCAGGCGCACAAGTCTGCTTGAATATCGGAAAGCAACTCTGGTATGCCTAGATAAAATACTGACTTGTCTTGCCAATGCAGAAAGATGTCTGCCAGCAATACATGCGTATCTTCCTCTATCTTCAAATTGTCTTGAATAGTTAAATAATTAATCGGCACGACAATAAACAATAGTATATAGCAGCCGAATTAATTAACTAATGCAAAGGACTAGACTAGCTATCCTATACATCAAATTTGGCTATCATATTCTCATGTTAAAAACTATCTAAGCCAAATTTGAGTGCCAACACATATACACAACATATACACGGTCAGCACAATGCTAAGAATGTATCTCACGAGGAAAGTATTGGATTCCATTAATTTCCTATGACCATCATCAGAGACAGTTTCTTTAGATCTGCTAATACTAACCCAGGACATATATACATAGTCCTAAGTTAAAGGGTGACAATAACTTGCCACCACATGAATTACACACTCAAAAAAAAAAAAATCCAGAGTCAGCGCAATTGCAAATTCATCCATTGCTAAACTAAGAACTATAGTCTATAATAAGTCTTTTTTATTATTAGAAAAATTAGACATTTGCAGGATTATATTCTGAAAATAAATCATGACATATGGGATGCCACCTCCAGCTGTAACTGTGTAAGAAAAGATTTACTTATTACACTGTTAGTGCTGGTCACCTTTGCTGGTCCATAGACAGTCCAATAGACTACACTTTCCAAAAAAACCTTACGTTTTTACATTAATCAAATTATAGGTACTACATAAAAGATGCAGTGTTAGAGGGAGAAACACCGTTTCACAAAGCATACGGCATGCCAGTGTTTGAGTACCTTGGTGCAAACGGGTCAATGAGCACGTTGTTCAATGAGGCAATGGCGAGCCATTCGATGATCATAGCGAAGAGGCTAGTCGAGGTCTTCCGTGGCTTTGAAAATTACACTGTGCTCGTCGATGTCGGCGGCGGCAAAGGCACCACGTTGCAAATGATTAGAAGTCAGTATGAGAATATTAGTGGCGTCAACTACGACCTGCCTTATGTAATTGCGCAGGCATCTCCAATTGAAGGTCAGTTCATTCCTTTTCCCTTTTTAAATTTTGATGATGAAACGCAAGTCAGTTATATTTATCTACCAAGATCGTAAAGACCTTACAGTTGGAATAAATGTATATATCCAAATAACTGGAACAATATGGTTCTATAATTTTTTTGGCAAATTTGTTCACATTAAAAAAAGCTTAACAAAAGGTCACCTGTTCCAAATAGATGAAAATCATGTTGGAATATTCACATTCAACATATGTTGTCTATTTGTTGTAATTATTTCCCCTATTATCTAACTAAATATATATGGTTATACTTATTATATATACTACCATAATGGTATTATAATAATACATAAAATATGGGCTCCTTTGAAAAAAAACACGTAGTAGGATTTATAGTATCATAAAATGGGTATATAAATATACGCAAACTGATAAATAACTGTGCACACATGCGCAATGCAGTTTATTGAAGATGGAAGTAACTACTCTTAGGGAGTAGGGAAAATAATGCACACCATATATAGGTGTGTGTGTTTTTCTCCTTGTAGGGCCCTCGCAACAAAACAAACAAAATATGGTAAAATGATATAATATACAATTTTCAGTGATCAGATGCAATGGTATAGTACGTTTTAATTTCCTACATAAGATGTGTTCTCCTAATATATGCATGTGCACACAATACCAATGCTATATTGCCATGTTTCTATGTACTCCCTCTGTCCACAAAAAAATACAAAATTACCATAGTATCATATTAAACTATCTTGAGTTTGTCTAATTATAAATAAAAAATATTAATGTTTATAAATAACTATCATTAAATTTGTCATGAGATAATGTACGTCTTTGGTGTCATAAAAATAATATATTTATTATTTATCTATATACATTTGGTCAAATTTTAGATATGTTGACTAAAAGTGTGCCTAGAATTGCATTCTTTCTTGGAAAGACATAGTATATATTGAACTGGTTTTATATATATACATGCAGGTGTGGAGCATGTTGGTGGCAGCATGTTTGATAATATTCCACCCGGGAATGCAATTATGCTAAAGGTTGTTTTCTTGATTTTATCTACAAATATCTTTCTAAAAACTTTCATTGTCTTGTTTTACATATTTGTTTATATTAAAAAAAGGAACACACGCATCGCCGTCATAAGTTTTACTTTTAGCACTACCTGGGAAGGAAGCACGGTACCACTTGGGTTCTCCGCCCTCCAGCAACAGGAACAAAATAAAACCTCTACTACTGCCAGTGCATTCATTTTACTGTATATCTAGATATAATATATGTCTAAATACATTGCAAATTCTTTGCATAAAAAAAAGTCAAAAAGACTTATAATTTGAAACAGAGGGAGTAGTTGGCAGCTTAAAAATACTTAAGGAATCACCCACTTGTTTTCCAACTGTCATTGACACACTACTACCGACTAATAATAACCATTTGAATTAAAATAAAATAATGCACACGCGTTGAAGATTATTATTTCTAAATATATAATGTACACACGCGGTGCATATATGCAGTGGATTCTCCACGATTGGGGCGACAAGGAGTGCGTCAAGATCCTAAAGAATTGCTATACAGCTCTCCCGGTGAACGGAACGATGGTCATTCTGGAGTACATCCTCCCGGAGACACCAGAACAAACACTAGCAGCGCAACTAGCGTTCGACCTCGATCTCGCGATGATGGTCCAGTTCGGCGCCAGCGGTAAGGAGAGAACAGAGAAGGAGTTGTCCGAGCTCGCCAGAGAGGCCGGCTTCTCTGGAGGCTGCACGGCTACATACATCTTCGCCAACGTCTGGGCCCTTGAATTCACAAAGTAGCTAGTTAAACTACGCAGCTCTTTTAATTAATAAGCATGTATGTTCTTATTAATTATACTCTGCTTGTTGCATCTTCATGTGTTACACTCATCATAGTAAGCATGTGCTTCGTCGCGGTGTATGAATAACGTCGCACATCCAGAATAAGGCATATATACATGCCGCCATGTAAACATATATGTCGTCTATGCCATCAATACCGTATTGTACTAGCTCGCTTATTGGTCCTTGAAAGTAAATATTTATGTACGTATTTGTGATAAATCAAACTATATCAACTTTGACAAAAAAAAAACTAATTATGAAAGCCTAGTGTTGAAATTAATGAAATCGCAGTATCGTCGTTCCGTACTGATTTTGTTGGAATAAATGGGATTGGGCCAATAGAAATTCTAAAATTTCCATGAAGAAATCTCGAAGACCCATTCACGTGTGTGGAGAGTGGGAGTGGGAATCCTTAGTCCTACCTTGCTGGTAGAAGTGGAAGTAGCAATGCTTAAATATGAAAGTTCTCTCCACTTACTTAATTCTAGTTTGAGGAGCAGAAAGGAAGCCCACATGCACCCGCTCACGTGCCTTGCCTCACTGGACCAGGATGTTGTCTCTTTTTGCAATTTTAGTTTTTTGTTACTTATTGGCCTTTGAATTTGCAGATAGGAGTCCTAAATGGTTTAGATCGTGATCGCAATACGAGATCGGGTCAGACATTTCTATATATACAGCCTATCAGACAACGCCAAAATGCATCTAATCGAGCAAGGGTTTTTGCCTCTTCTCGCTGCTGCGCTACCACTGTAGCCTCTCCATCCCAAGAACCTGCATGAACTGGCGATTGGAAGAGCAGGTCTACGGAAGCCTCGTCCTTGCAATTCTACACTGGGAGAGCATGAATAAGGTTTTTGGGAAGCACTCTTCACGTGACTGCTCTATATGTCCATAACGGGTCATCTTCCATCCAAGTCAGGCGGTCCTACGTCCCCATTAGCTGCTCCAAGCTCTTCCTCCACCGCTCATCGACGACTTCATACCACCAGCATCAACAATGTCTCCACCACCAGCAACGCCGTCTTCCTCTGCAGACGAAAGGTACACACCCTGTGATTCATTCTATTATTATAGTATGCCTGCTGTCTTGATCATGATAATATTCGTTACTCTATTCATGTTCTTTGACGAGGACATCACTCCTTCAAGTACAAGCCAAGGAGATGAGGGGGATGTGGGGGGGGATATATCCCCGGGTACCACAAGATGGTAGAAGATATGATTTACTATGACTCTTATAGATATTGTAATCCAAATAGAATACCTATCATATAGCCGACTAGAATACTTTCCTTGTAAGCCTACCCCTCCAGAGTATATAAGTAGGAGCAAGGGTCCCCTAGTCACGATCCAGATACAAATCCTAAGCTTAGGTTGTGATCTCATTATCTCATACACCACCAATACAATCTACCAGAACACAAGACTAGAGTATTACGTCGAGTTGACGGCCTGAATCTGTATAAATATTGTGTTCTCGTGCTTGTGTTACTTTCTGGTTCTTGATCACGCGCACCTCACCACACAATCTACCATCATGGGTATATCCCTCGGTGGACTATCGATGATATCTCGTCGACTGTTTGTGCACCACGTAGGAGTGTACGTGCTGATCCCATGAGGAACCAAATGGCGTACCTCAAGATCAATGCCATCGGTGGCAATTTGGCTCCTGGTGGCGGCATCCTTCACATACGATGGAGTCGTCGTCTTGAGGCTATTCGTGGCGGCTCGACGTGGCTACGCAACTCGTCGCGAACTCGCGGCAGCATGTTTCAATGCGTGGAGTCAAGATCCAATCAGAATCGGGCCACGGCCCCTGTTCGGCGCACGAGGTTTTGCGTCCCGCAATCAACATTGTCCGCGACAAATCCAACCGTCCCGCGACGGCGTCTTTCAGCGGCTCGCGCCGGCACTCCACGCCTCGAAGTGTTTCGCGGTAGCATTGTTATCCGCCGACTCTCTGGAGCTCGTCGGGATCAACATCCGTACACCGAAGAACCCGACGACTACAACCACATCAGCTTTATTCAGATCCGATCTAAGCCAAGTAGCAAAATCACAGCACAAGTTGGACTGCAACACCGCCACCGTCTCCGACACGGCATCAACACAGGAATTTCCGAATCGAGGTTTCCGCGTTCAAGGCACTGCTCTCTTACGAGCAAACAAGAAACGTGTGCAGGCCATGCAAGTTATTTAGTAGTAATAATCAAGGCGCAACTTGCATGTACGTGTGCATGTGTACACGACATACTATACGCCCAACTTTGGCCCAATGCGAACACCAGGACGACAAAGTACACGAAAGCCACGTCCCGTTCTACACCGCCATGCAAGCTAGCTTTCACGTACGTCAGACAAGCAAGCAAGGAAGATCTCGGACTGCGCCTCGCCTTGGTCGGACATGGCCGAGGGTTTCGCCTTCCCGCGCGGATTCCGACTATGCCCGTTCGACTATGACTCCGTGCACTAGTTCGACTATGACTCCGCCTACTCGTCCGACTATGCTCCACGCACCAGTCCAACTGCATCAAGCCACAAGCGAGTCGTCCGAGCCGGAGGCGAGTGACAAGCGAGCTGTCGAGCCTACATCCATCTACTTAGATACTATGACTCATCAATTCTTCTACTTGGCCATCAATCAAGCTAAGTCAAACTTTAATATTTTTTTAAATATTCTTTAATCATCATATATTTCTGGATATTATACACATGCCTCCGCGGCTCTACTATAATCGACGTCTCTCCATATATTTTTCTTCGTGTTTAACATCTTTAAGACGCTTTAAATTTTCTCCATCGACTTGCCGACCAGCCACGTTCTCATTTGCGTTATCCAGAAGTGGCCCTGTTCCGATTTAGCACCTAGACTTGCATGGGCAGTAGCGCTCTGTGTCATGGGCAGCGGCTCCTCGGTAATGCTTGTATTCTTAAACGAGCACGAGAATTAGCGCTCTATGCCATTGGGTATGGGATAGCCCAGGCTAGTGACGCGATAAAGGACCAACGGTCGAAGCACTGTTCATATTTTAAATATGATAACTTTAAACAAACATAATGTTTATCTACAACAGAGTTCGTATATTTTATTTTTACATCATGTACTACCCATTCGATATATTTGTATTAAGGGGCCCAGTTCAGTCTATGAGCTTATTTTTTATGCTCCGGGATTGGATCAGTCGGAACGACAAGACGATCATCGTCCGGGAGGTCACACCACCTAGCTGTCGGACTTCACCGCCGACCAACTGGTTGGTCCGTTAGGCTCATGGACCTCATCGCCAACCAGTTGGTCGGACTGCCCGGTGCTCACTTCTGCTCGGCGCTCACTTTGTTGTAGACCAGTTGGTTGGACTCCTTGGTGTTCGGATTCTTTGTACATCCCTTAGCGGTCGAATTTTGCTACATCTTGTCGGTCGGTACAAATCTGCTGGCCTTCCTCAGAACCTTGTTGTGGTGATTTGGGAGTTCCGAGGTGGGGGTGATATGTGTTCTCCGGCGACCCGAAGCCTTATGACAGACTATCCAGATTGCCTTACTCGGATCTAATCAAGGCTGCACAATCGAGGACTAAGTGTGTACACTTCACCCATCTGTGGTCAAGTGCTAAGCACACTCCACTATTTTGATCTCTAAAAATATTTTGACTTAATTTCTTTGACCCTACTACAAGATTTATTTTTTCATCTTCCAGCAGGCTCGGGGACTAAGTGTGTACACTTCACCTAGCGGTGAGTGTACTTTTTCTTCTTGTTAATGGTTTTCAGCTAAGCTGGGACCGGTTGTGTCACTGGCTAAGCATCTAGAGTGTTCTATTTTTTTTAGCCTAGCACTAGGTGCATTCTTCACCTACTGTCAGGCTCGGGGTCTAAGTAGATACACTTTACCTGGTGGTAAATGTAGTGCTTTTTTCTTAATTTACCCTCCTTATTGACTAAGTCATGGATGATAATCATCTGACCTCGCAAACGGAGTCTAAGTGGCTCCACTTCATTTGTGCTAAAGAAATCTCGTATTTAATTTTGAGCCCCTTATATCCTTCTGGCAAGCCTTACTTGAGTAAGTTTGAGGTCTGCCGAACAATGGTCGGCCACCCTTCATCATTGGTCAGATTACCGGTTAAACTGGTCAGCTTCATGTTAGACTGCTTGGATGTGATCAATACGTGTTGCTCAGCGGATATAAGGCGTTCGGGGACTAGTTGTGGGGGATACACCCTGGGGTACCACATGATGGTAGATAATATGATTTACTAGGACTCTTATAGATATTATAATCCGAATAGAATACCTACCATATAGCCGGCTAGGATATTTAACTTGTAACCCTACCCCTCCAGAATATATAAGGAGGGACAGGGCTCCCCTAGTCGCGATCCAAATACAAATCCTAGGCTTAGCTTGGGATCTCATTATCTCATACACCACCAATACAATCCACCAGAACATAGGACTAGGGTATTACGTCGAGTTGACGACCTGAACCTATATAAATATTGTGTTCTTGTGCTTGTGTTACCTTCTGGTTCTTGATCACGCGCACCTCACCACACAATCTAACATCGTGGGTATACCCCTCGGTGGACTATCGATGATATCTCATCGACAGAGGACCAGTGTGGGCATCCAATTCATGTACAACATGGCGGAGGCCCAATCAAACTCGAGTAGGAGTCTAGCTCTAATTCCAAGAGCAGTCTCGTGGAAAATCGATGCCCAGGGCACGTACGTACTCCGTTTTTGACGATCCGAATACACATGGAAAGATAGTTTGATAAGCTAACCAATGGATTTGGTTTCACATCAAAATTCATCCAGAGTCAATAGGATTTCTTGAAACAAGTTAGCATCCAAAATCTGCCAGGGTGCTGCGACACTGTCTTTTGGTCCATTGAGCTGTGTACCGTCTTAGAGCCCATTAGGAGGCGTGTTTAGGGGTGATGATGCCCA